CTGGTATTTTCAGATATTATCATTTTTACACTTTGCTGACCATAAAATGATATACTGTTGCTGTTTGGATTTTTATTGTCCTAAGGAACCCATTCTGTATCTGAAGAACTCATCCTTTACCTGCATATCTGTTCTTGCCTTCTTTGTCAGCTCTGGGCTTCTATTCCAATCCCGTGACCTGTTCCTCTTCTGCTGCCCTGAGGACCCCTTTTATTACCCTAGTGGGTGCAGTCTAATTTACCATCTGGTAAATTCATTCCTACACCTCCATGCCTTCTTAAAAGTTATTCTGGCTCTTCTTGGCCATGTATTCATCATATGAATGTTGAGATAAGCCTAGGAACTTTCCTTAAAAACTGTGCTGCAAATTAAATCATTAACTGAATTTATGTGTAACTTTGGAAGAAGTTAGATCTTTATAATACAGTGTCTTCCTAATCATGAACATGGTATATTATCACTTTATTTACTTTGCACTTTAATAAAGCTTTATGCTATTCTTTATGTGTTGTAGTGGAGTCATTCTTAGGCACCATGTAATTTTTGTTGCTATGGTATCTTTGTAAATATTATCTTATTCTAAGTAGTTGTTGCTTGAATAGAGAAGCCCTTGATTTTTTAATATTGATCTTGTATCCTGAAACCTTATTGAACTCAATTATTAGTTCTTAAAATTTGTAGGTTTTCTTGGATTTTCCATTTTTTATAATCACATCATTAAAATGTAACAATTTGGCTTCTTGCTTTCTGATCCCTAGACTTCTTTCCTTTTCTTGATCTATTTCTTGGGGTTGGGTTTCCAGTACAATGTTGAGGAAAAGCAGAGTAGTGAACATTCTTTCTTGCTCCTGACTTTAAAGAGAATGCTACTTAAAGTTCATCATTAAGTATAATGTTTCCTATGGGTTTTCGCAAATACTCTTAGTGATATTAAGGAAATTCCTTTCTATTCCTAGTTTACTAATGATTTTTGTCTTAAATTGGTGTTAAAAGCTCCAAAATTTTTTCTATATCTATTGATATGATAATATGGCTTTTCTCTGTTATTCATTTAATATGTAAATTATGCATTACTACAGAGAATTTAATTTAGAGAAAATACTTAAGTGTTAAATTACCCTCAAATTTTTGGAATGAATTCTATTTGGTCATGATGTGTTTTTGCAAACTTTATTGCATTCAATTGGCTAAAATTTTATTTAAGATTTTACACTCCTAAGATTCCTCTTTTTTGCTGCTTGAGATATAATTTTCTGAGGTGATCTGTAAGTTAAAAATCTTCTGTGATTATGGAAATTCTTTTTTCTTCTTGTAATGCTATTAATTTTTGCTTTATATATTTTGAGTCTATATTATTAGGTGTATATAGATTTAAGTGTTTGATTTCCTAGTATATTATCCCTTTCATTGTTAAATCTGTTCTCTTGTATCCTTAACCATGCTCTTTGTCTTAAAATCTTTTTCTCTGATACTAATATTGCTACATTAGTTTTCTTTCCAGTGGTAATTCTCTGTGGGTCTCTTTCTATTCCTTGAATTCAATTGCTCTGTCACTATGTTATACATGTGTCTCTTATGAACAGCAGATACAATAGTCCCCCTTGTCCACGGTTCTGCTTTTTACAGTTCAGTTACCTGCAGTCAATCACAGTCTGAAAATAGTAAATGGAAAATTCCATAAATCAACAATTCATAAGTTTTAAATTGTGCGTGGTTCTGAGTAGCACGCTGAAGCCTTGCTCTGTTCCTCTCTGCGTGGCCCACGACGTGCGTCTTCCCTTTGTCCAGCGATCCACACCGTATATGCTGTTCATCCCTCGGCAGCCGTCCAGCCTATCAGATCAGTTATCAGAGAAAGAGGTAGAGACCACATTCACATAACTTTTATTATAGCATGTTTTTATAATCGCTCTATTTAATCATTAGTTGTTGTTGTTAATCTTACTTTGCCTAATTTATAAATAAAGATGTATCATAGGTATATATGTATAGGGAAAAACATAGTATATATAGGGTTCAATGCTACCAGCAGTTTCAGGCATCCACAGGGGGTCTTGAACAAACATATCCCCCTGAATAAGGGGGGGGGGGGGATACTGTAGTTAGATTTTTGTATTCTCATTCTACTTGAAAACTTCCTTTAGGAGATACATCAGTTCCATTTTTCTCATCTGGTACACCTTTCCTTTATTTTCCTTCTGCAATCTAAATTCTAAATGTCTTTGCAATTTAAATCAGCTAACTCTGCAATAATTATTATAAGAACAAGATATAATTAAAGGTTCTAGAAAGATCCTTTGCTGCATCTGAAGGCCCAAGTTTAGGGGCAGCTCTTCCTCCACACAAGAACAACCCCAGACATGGGGAGCCCGATTGATTCTGAGAAATGAACCCTGCTGTGACCGGGAAAAACAGTATGCTTTGATCGTGCAGGGCAAGGGGTGGACGGGAGAAGTCCCACTGGTAAGAGAGCGGCCTGTGCACAAAACTATTTCTACCAAAAAGACACTGACTTGGGTGTTCGTGACCCTCCTTTTAAATATGATTCTTCCTCAGTGAAGGTGTCTGTCAGTCGTTCAACCACGTCCATGGCTGAACGCTGAGGAGCACTGTGCCAGGGCCTGTGCTAGGACACAGGAAGCACCGGGGCGGGTCCCACTCCTGGGGATCACAGTCCAGTGGGAAGACCGAGACTGGGGCTGCAGGTCACAGGGACTGCATTTGTTCTCTCCTAACACACCTGCCCCCCGGGCCCCAGTCTGCACACACCCCTCTTCACAGTCCACTCGCTAGCAAAGGCACCCCCTATAGTATGCGGTTTCCTGTAAATTAGGATTCATCTGAAATTGTCCTAAAATGTTCCATTTCTTCCGTTCCACCACTTCTAAATAAGGGAGGAGAGGGAAAGGGTCACTTGGGAAAAACTGTTATTTATTTTCAGTAGCTCTTACAAGTCCCTGTCCTGTTATCGGTCGAAGTGCTGGGGGCAAAAAGCAAAGTTCAGTCACACTCAGGACTTAACTGATAAACCATCATGGATTAACCTGTGTACCCAAAACCCTCCCCATAATCATTAACATCACAACAGAGTTCCGAGTTCCCTCACTTCCCAATGATCTTTTTCAAGGAGAAATTCCAGCGTTTCTCTGCCTGACGAAATACATCGCTACCTTCAAAGTAATTCATTCTCCGGGAAATACAGTTGGCAAGAAGCAGGTGTTTCCCTCCCCCTTTGAAGCTTTTCGTCTTCTCTGCTTTTATGTAAAATGGAGAAAATTACACCTGATTTGCTTAAAGAGAGAGAAGAAAAAGATCCATAGTTGATGTCTCTTAAAGCCCCTATTACTGACAGGTAACAGCTGTTTAATAGGAATGTTCTCTGTGAACCTATCCTAAGAGATCTTGGATTGATAGTTCAGGTGACTGCTAGGCTGAGGATGATATCCTGGAGGGAATGTAAATTTTCTCCCCATTCCAGTTTTCAGATTCAGTGGCTGCCATAGTAATTCTAAAGAGGTCCAAAGACCCCACATCTTGAAAAACAGTGTTGTGCAATGTTAGTTAAATTATTAATTGGTGCAGTCTTGTGGAATGCATTTAAAATGTGCCTATGCTTCGACCTGAAAATCTCTCTTCAAGGAATTTACCCAAAGGAAAACATGATTAGCACAGTGCACAAAATTCTATGCCCTAGGATGCTGGAGTAAATGAAGCTTTCCATCAATAGAGACTTATCACATAAAATGCATGGACACTTGCATGCAATGACTTGGAAGTTGTCACTCAACCCTAACTGCTAGAAACACCGAAAGTCATTTTGACAGATTGCTGGAGGAGGGTGCGGACTAGTGTGACAGTGAGAAGCTCCCTGGTTGCCACAGGAGGACCCCAACGTGCATGGACCTGACCTGGAAGAACATCGCCGTTCTCGTGGTGATGGTCCCTTCTCTGGCGGGGGAGGGGGAGCGGAATCATCGTGAAATGTGCTCAGAGCCGCCCTTTCACATCTAACTGCCAATGTCACTGTCTGTGTGTGAGCTTCTCCAGAAAAACTCACGGACATTTGTCCCTTGGGGGAATTACATCTAAGTCCCGGTAACTATTAAAAGGCAGACCTGGTTTTATATTTTTTCTTCAACAGCCAAAATCCAACTTTCAACTTTCCTGCACTGGGGACATTGTTGGGTCCTAGAGAGAGAAAAATATATAAGCTCATCGAATGTGTTTTTCACCAGCACTTACCAATATTATTAAAATGAAGTAATTTGAAGAAAAAAAATGCATTAACCACAAATAATACACATTTTACAAGAATACATACCAACAACAAGATACATATTAAACACACTAAACGGCAGCGTATGGAGATTGGGGAGGGGGAGGCCAGAGTGACATATGAGAGTTTAAGAAATTAAAATGTAATTTTTAAAAAAGCACCCTAACTTCTCAGCTTCCAACCTCTCGCCTCATTCACACACCTACGAGATGCTGCCCACGTGCTGGGCACCTTCCCTAGCTCATCGCCCTCTCCTTCCCCTTGGAGTGTCCCTCCCCCCACTAATCCCTCTTCTCCCCTATGGCTCCCCAACACCAGTACCAACTTCTCCATCCACTCACTTCATGCACATTCTCCTTCTCTCTTTCTTATTCACACCCCTCCTTCCCAATCTGACCCTAACCCCACACCCATTGCCACCCTCCCCAGAGAGAAGCTTCCGTGGGGCGGCCCTGAGGAAACACACAGCTGGGCCAGAAGACCTTCCCTCGCTGCCTGCCCTGTCTCTGCCCTCTCTCCCTCCTTGCTTCCCCCACCCGTGTTCCCTCTCCCTCGGGCACTGTTGCAGCCCTAACCTCGGGCTTGCAGAGGTGGTGCAGTAGCAGCCCCAGAGCTCCTCCGTGGCTCCTCCCCTTCCGTCCAGGTGTCAAAGTCCAGCCGGTGGGAGCACCTGGGGCTCTTCCTCAGACCTGTCTTCACGGGAACTTGCTCCTGAGGAGGAGAGATGACTCTAGCCTGGAGACACTTGCCAAGAACTCTGCGCCTGGAGACTCCCTCTCGCAGGGCACCCACGACATGCCCTTCCCTGAGCGGTGAGTGGGGGGGTCAGCAGAGGGTCAGTTGGGGGAAGGGCAGGGCTTGGAGCCTGTTGCCTGGCATTCTGAAATGCTAGACCTGAATGGGACCTTAGAGACAGGTCATCAACGCAGTGGTTCTCACCCTGCCAAATCCAACGCCCCTTCTCTTGTCCAGTCTTTTCCAATGTCCCTTTTGTCCTAGAATGAAATTCATGGATAACAAAACCTGACTGTATATACTTTCTTTTTTTTTTATCCTCATTCGAGGACATTTTTCCATTTTTTGTACAGACAGAGTGGGAGGGAGAGAGAGAGAGGGAAACATAGATGTGAAAGGGACACATCGAGTGGCTGCCACCCGCACGACTGACCAGGGCCGGGGACAAACTGCAACCGAGGTACATGCCCTTAGCGGGAACCAAACCCGGGTCTCTCCGGACCACAGGCCGATGCTCTAACCGCTGAGCCAAACTGGCCAGGGCTGTATACACTTTCAAAATAAAAGCATGATACCTTAGCTGTAATGTAAAAAAGAAATAAAAAGAAAACAACTCAAAGTAAAGTGTTAACTACAATATATACATGCTCAAAGTCGACCTCTTTAAAAGACATACGGCATCCCCACAAATCTCCACTGCACCCCAGGAGGTGGAGCCATCCTGCAATTACTGACCCAGAAATGGAGACTCAGAGAAAAGCAGTCATTAATTAACCAGAGACACCCAAGAAACTAGGACTCGACCCTGGGCTGTTCCTTCCACTCGGACCCTCTTCTCTTCTCAGCAGGAACAGAAAGCGTGAGGGGACCTGGGGTAGCCAGCCGCTTCGGCTCCGTGTGTTCATCCATGTGGTTGTGATTTCCACATTCTTGTTCCACTGGAACCCGCCACGCCCCCCACCGTCCCCTCACGCAAACGGGCGTCTGTGGCATCAGCACGTTGACCCGCCGTCCTGGGGCCCTGGGCCAGTCAGGCATAGGGAACCCTTTCCATTCCCCGTTGCGACCAGTTTTATTTCCATTTTCTCTTCATCTTTCTCTTCCTCTTTCCTTTTTCTCTAGCCTTTCTTCCTCCTCTATTTGCTCTTTATTCCCCTGAAAATTGCAATTCTTTGAAACTTAATACGGCCGATGCTTTCAATGATGTTCTCCTTTCATCTTGAACCAGACGTGTGAGTGAGTACCGTGACCCCAGTTCACAGACTAGGAGACAGAATGATTAATAAATCCGGTCAGAGGCAGAAACATAGAAGTGACAACTTGGGATTCAAGGCCAGGTCTGACTCCAGAGTCGGAGTGATTCCACCAGACCCTCGATCAGCTCGCCAGGACTCCTTAACGCAGCGCCACCGCAGAGAAGTGACCTCGCAAGCCCACACCACGTAGACATGAATGTCGTACTCTTACCTAGCCTTTTAAATTCTGTTGAAGTCTGACCCTGGCCAGGTAGTTCAGATGGGTAGAGCACTGTCCTGATACGCCAAGGTTTCTGGTTCGATCCCCGACTTCCTCAGCTACTCTACCTAGATACATGCCTGCTTGTGTTAGTTCATCCAGACACACACGCATTGAACACATGTTCTTAAGAACCTGCTGCATGCAAAACATACATCCAGTAAAAAGTATCTGAGCACCTCCGTACTGGACAGAGCCATGATGAACATGAAAAAACCACTGCCCAGGGTATCCCCGTGGGAGAGACTGAGCATAAGCAGACAAATAAGTAAATAGGTTTAAAAAAAAAAAAAAGTCCAGTAGAGACACCTGCCATAAATAAAACCAAATCAGGGCGAATGGAAAGGAAAATAAAATGGGTGAGGGGGTCAGGGGCTGTGTTAGATGGGGGATCACCAGGTGGTGTGGTGTTGTCAGATATGCAAAAACAAATACGTACCAATCCTGGATACCAGCTGCATAAAGACTGTGTGATCTCTGTGTGCACAAAGTGTTAGGCCTTGGATGCTCACTACCTTCAATCTCAATACGTACAATCAGGGTGGGTGATATATGGACACAGAGTTACAGAAGCAATTTGTTTCCAGTATAACAGAGTGGAGAAAATAACCCAGTGGTGCCTTCTTTCTTACTAATAAGCTAATAATTATTAAATGTATAACATTTCCAGGAAGGTGGGGTATGTACTCAGATGTACTGTTTTCTTATAATCTGCCTTCTCCCCGACAGGAGGGGGGTGGATGGTGGTGAATCATGCCCATTTGCATGAGTAACTTCCCAAGATTGCAAAGGCTTTTCTATGAAAAACATTAAAATTGGCCCAAACAGGAGGTCTCCCACCCACACTGCTCCAGGAGGACTTTGCTGCAGCCAAGGGCCAGAGGGGCGACCCCAGAGAAGGCCGCCCCCAGAAGGGCCAGCGGAAGGACCACCTGCCAGGCTAGGGACCAGCCAGAGCTCCTGCTTGTGAACAAAGGCACCTGACCCTGGTTCACAGCAAAGGGCATTCATTGAAGGAGGGGGAAGAGTCGATGGGAGGTGAGGCAGGGGGCAGGACTGGGTGTGAAGAGACGCCAGGGACAGCTCCTGGCAGGAAGAGCCGCTGTGCATGGCGTGGCTCTGCTGAGGGCCTCCAGCTCTTCCCTCCATCCAGGTCATCTGCTCAAAACGTCAGGTCCTACAGCGAGGACGTCTCATTCACCCATCGGAGGTCCCGCGCCCACGCCTCGGCGCCCCTGGTGGGAGGCAGGCATCTGATACAGTATTAACCTGTCACTCAGCGTGCACAGTTCGGCAGAGGTGGTTCCCACAGAGAGACTGGGCGCTACACGTCATGATGGGGGAGAGTTAAATGATACTGCACAGCCGAGACAAGTGTCCTGTAACTTCCTGCAGACTGTGGAACAGTTGATGAAGGAAAAACTTTCTCCTCTCGGGTCTGGGAGCTGGCAGCTGCTCAGCAGGGAGCAGAGGAGAAAACCATCCTCCCCAACCAACCACTGCCCCTCATGTCTCCAGACCTCACCTTAGTCTCAACAAGCCTCCGCGAGGTGACATCTCCAGCCCTCAACCCTTTGGGGCCTCAAAACTGCCTTCCCAATGGGCAACCCCGATTTTGCACGTAGAAAAATAAGACCAAAAGAGTGAAGGATATTTGAATTTTTAGAAACACTCAGAATTTATCTTTTGTCTCAGAAGCGTAACTAATGTAGAGGGACACAATGAAAGGCTTTTCAAAAGGTGAAACTCTCAGAAAACTTAAGCTATTGATTTTGGGGGGTTATTTTTACCCATGAATAGCCAAAAGCCACTTGATTTTAAAGTAAGAGCAAATTAATGACATTTGTCATTCTTTAGAGCAGAAAAGTGAGGACTCTGAAAGAAAATATACTCAGCGCTGTTACATTTCATCTTCCTTTAAAAACACCTCAGGCCTATGACTACGTGGCCACACAAAGTACCAACATCTTATCCGTGGATTCAAACCTTTGTGCTGAACACGAGACCTCATTGCTTCAGCGTTCTCCACCTGTGAAACGATCTCGATACTGACCTTGAATCTTCAAAATCAGCAGCATTCTTTTCCAAGAGTACTCGTACAGTCTCTAGACATCTCTCCCAGCTCTGATCCTCTCTGGCTCCATTATTCCATCAAAACCTATGCTGGGCCCTGGCTGGTTTGGCTCAGCGGTTAGAGCGTCGGCCTGCGGTCCCGAGAGACCCGGGTTCGGTTCCCACTAAGGGCACGTACCTCGGTTGCAGTTTGTCCCCGGCCCTGGTCGGTTGTGCGGGTGGCAGCCACTCGATGTGTCCCTTTCACATCGATGTTTCTCTCTCTCTTCCTCTCTCCCCCTCCCACTCTACCTGAACAAAAAATAGAAAAATGTCCTCAGGTGAGGATTAAAAAAAAAAACAAAAACCTGTGCCGGGAAAGCAGGGTGAAGGTGGCCAATGAGTGAGCGGGAAAGTGCGTGGAGTTCCATCCTCGCGCTGCAGCTAACGAGCTTGGTAACCTTAAACAATTAACCCACCACTTCAGGCTGATTTGGTCGTCTATAAAATGAGCATTTTAACTAAAAAAATAACACTAAGGTCCCTTCTGGCTCCAAATATGATACCTCGGGCTCAGTTTATCTTGGTTGTCATGGTCTGGGGTTTTGGAGAAAGGTTTTGTCTTTCTGATCTATTTGCACATAGCATTTATTAATATGATACGTTGCCCAGCCTCTTTCTGTCTTTATTCCTTATTAGGAGAGTCAAGAGCCATTCACTCCTTGTTTATTGACACTGGGATAGGTATTGGGATCCGGGCACTGGGCAACCCGATGCTTAGAAAGCCCCTCTGCTGACCAAGAGGATGTATTCCAGCGGCACACAGAGCGGCGGAAGCTCGGTCAACTGAAAGAGAAATGTAGTTGACATGGGTGGGGGAGGAGCTATCCAAGCTGTGAACGACCCTGATGGGAGAAACCGTGGCTTCCCCCAACCTCTTCCATACCTTTCCTGGCTATGTGTGAGAGGAACTCTTTTTTTCTCCAGAAAATTTATTATTGAGATACCTCTGTTTTTAAATCCAAACTAAAGGCTAATTTGGATGATGTTTTTCACTGAAAAATAATATATCCATCGTATTCTTGTTGGTTGGGTGAATGAAAGAGTGATCATTGATCTGGGTAACCGTAGGTGATTTCTACAAACGGGCTGTGTGATGGTCATCCAAGGGTCCTCACTCACTTCGCTCTTAGTAGGTCCTTTCTGGACATCTGTAACCAAGCTCGGTCTTCATACGAAGCCCAGAATGCCTCCATGTGACTTCACACCTGAAAAATACCAGGTAAGAGTTAGAGCCTTAGGAAAGCCCAAAAGAGGTGGTCCACTGTTTCCTCAGGAAGGACCCGCAATGGCCCTGCCCACCGCCGAGCAGCCCCGTGGCAGGTAGTCCGTCCTTTGAGCCTCGGCTCCATTCAGTGCCACAGTATGCGCTGGTGTGCGTGTGGGTGGGAGAGCGAGGCAGAGATGGGGACAGAGAGAGACAGAGAATGCAGGAGGCTCTTCGTGACGATAGATCACAGGGGCAAAAGCAGACACACGCCCAGAAGTACATATGTCACAAAGCGGGTGGGCACACGTGCACTCTGAAATGTTGTTCTGGTTTTGACCGTCTCTTACGGCAATGCATGATCTGACCTTCCCGAGTTCTCCACCAAAAAATATAAACTTATCATTTTGCTCTCAGGCTAATGAATACTTCTCTCGCCCCCACCCCAAACGTTTCATTCTACATACTGTTCAAGATCCAGAAATTGTAGAATAGATAGTCAGGAGGGACCCAGAAGGAGAGATCAGGAGGAGACAGGTTTGATAATTACAGACATGAACACCAACACATGATTTCTTTTTATTCTAAAAAAAAAAAAAAAAAGAAATACAGCAAAATGAAAAATGTGTTTCAAAACCCAACTTATGACTTCAGACATTTGCTTTCAACGTTTATTTTCACAGCTAAAATGAACTCACAGCCAAGGTTTTCCATGGAGAGGCGGACCTTTCTGTCCCTTCTTCATGTTTGACACAGGAAGGGGTCGCAGGGCCACACTGATAACGTCCCCTACTTGAGGGGAAGGGCCTTGGCGTCCTGCAGGGAAGACACGGGGCAGGTTCTCCCACTGGAGCACGGGGCGGCAGCCGCTCCCCGGGTCGGTAGAGGCAGTACTGCTACGGTGACGTGTTGCTGTAAGGAAAGTGGAGACAAGGAGAAGGAAGACTTTTCACCCTGAGATGCTGTCTGTCCACAGTCCCTTCCCTACCGCCGTGTCCTGGAGATCTACCAGCAACACCTCTCCCCCATGCAGACAGCGTACTTCCCACAGCCTCTGCTGCTCCACCAGGGTCACATGGAGTGGCTATTTGATCACGAGGGAAACAGATACCTGGACTTCTTTTCTGGGATTGTCACTATCAGTGTTGGTCACTGCCACCCGTGAGTATCCTTAGAATTCTGGGGTTTTCACTCCAGAAGAATAGATGGAGAACAGGCGAACCACGGCCACGGTCGTGGTTCGGGACCCTGATTAAACATGCTCTCTCCTTAGGCACGCCCTCCTCGCTGGCCACCAGTACCAGCCCTCCCCCCTCCATGCTATCCATTCTAGACAACGCTTTGGTCAAGCATCTTTTTGTTTGCGGGTTTATTGACACTCCGTAATTGTCTACAGGGAGTTCTGTGGAACATGGACCACAGGAGAGGTTTGTTGGTGAAAGGTCCTATGAAGAAATAAGCTTGGGAAACACTTTAAACTATATCTCCCTCCTGGGGAGAATGGTGCACAGGAGACTGGTGCAGGCACTGAAAAGTCCTGCAGTCAAGAAATATTTTCATCTGGCATTTTGCAAAATTGTCCAACCACTGAACTGACTTTTTCGGTGTGTCAGTTGTTAATGACAAACAGATTGGTGCGCAACAAACTTCAGTCACTGCTGTCCTTCAGATCCAGGTCCAACTTCTGAGTCTGGTTTTCCAGGCATTCCAAGTCAGGTCTATCCACCTGTACGTAGCTCCTGCTATCCCTCCACACGAACCTTCTCTCACAGAACGTGGTTGCGTAGTTACAAAATGTCCGACGGTCATCACTACTGAGACCCAGAGAGGGGAATCTCCTCTGAAGGAGAAAATACTGATCTGACGTGTGCCTGATGGATCTACAGCTCTTTAGAAAAGAAAAATGGGAAGCTACTCAGGCTGACATCTAGTTGTCTCTACCTTCCAAACTATTTAAAGAATAGTTAATAAGATAACCTAGTTAGAAGAGATTCTAAGTCCAGACTTCCTCCTAAACTAGGGGTTTCTTTTCTAACATCCCTATGGGATCATTATTTAGTCTCCTTTGTTACCCTTTGAAGCAACACACCTGCTGCCAGACACCTCTGGTGTCTGCAGCGCTTCCTTGTGTGTGGATGGACTCAGCCCCTGGAGGCTCTTTGAGTTCAGTGACCAGGTGTGTGCTGGGGGGACACACCCCTGCAGCATGGATAACTGTTCTCTTGTTCACCCAGGAAGGTAAACGCAGCGGCAGGAAAGCAGCTCGGCCGCCTGTGGCACACGAGTGCCGTCTTCTTCCACCCCCAGATCCATGAATACGCAGAGAAGCTTTCCGCGCTCCTTCCTGAACCCCTAAAGGTATAATGCTCCCCGCTCCAGGGCTGGGAGTCTCAGGATCCCAGGGCAGCTGCCTGAGGAAGCAGGAATATGGACAGGGAATTTGGTGTGTGCTTGGAACAGCTGAAATAGCGAGCCGATCGTTCTGTCTGGAAGTAATCAAGAAGAAAGGACTCGCTGGCGAACCCAGCCGAAGTTCACCTCCTCGGCGCCAAGCTTCTGCTTCTATCCTCATCACTCAGTGGGAGCCCGCCCCCCGACTCTCTCCTTTCTGTTCCCAAGAGGTTTTCTCCTCTTCATTTCGTGCCTCCCAGTCCTGAGCCTGGAGGACCCGGACCCTCCGTTCTCCCCTTTCTTTTGGCTAAGATGAGCCACATGTTGTGTCTGTTTGCTAGTTTTTGCACCATTCACACACACTGCACTTACAGGCTGGATCGTCCTTGGGGCTGCGGATCAGGGAGCCTCCTCGTCCCAAACCTTCAAATCAAGTGTGGTGGTTTAGGTTCAGGAACCAAGAGACCTGGTGCTCGAACCCACTTGGCCACTGGCCACTGTGCACCCCTCAGCAAGTTTCCCCACCTAACACTTTGCAAAGCAGCAAATAAAACCAATGGAAGTCCGGAATGTTTCACAACTGGGACAATCCCTGAGCCGTTTTTTAATCTCTAGCACTTAGCAGCTGCTCAATAAAAAGCTGTAGAATTAATACAGTAATTAAATGACGGAACTGCTGGTCTGAAGGATACTCTCCTTAATAATCAGAGGCTGGGACACTGTCTTCAACAATTTTGAATTAATTGAATAACAAAATGTAAATGCAGTATGAGGCCATGTGTCTTCCTTTTCCCTGCAGGTCATTTTCTTGACAAACAGTGGTTCAGAAGCCAACGACCTAGCCATGCTGATGGCCAGAGCACATTCAAAGAACACACACATCATTTCTTTCAGGTAACCACACCTTGGACTATCCAACTCTAATGACACTGACTTGCCCTGATACTAAATGTCTAGCTTTAAAATAGAGCATGGAGGGGCTTTCCTGGGGGTATGTATCTAATTTTAGGTTTTAGGGCAAGATCAGTCAAGTAAGTGTTATGACTGGATGACCCCATCCAAATTGACCTGATCCAAGGTAGGGGTTCCTGCCTGGGGTAACACACAGCATGAGGGCCTGGTAATGTCATAGATCTCCTACGGAACTGAAGGTCACATCCCAGCTTTCTGACTTTGAAGATGTGCTTTGGCTATGACGTATGCCAAGTGGGGAGTTACTGGTCTTCACTCACAGAAGCTCCAGGCTCCACCCCCGGACACTGGGCCACATGATCTCCGCTAATGATAAGGAGCCAGCCATGCAGTTCCCAGGGCCGGCGGCACCAGTTTTCACCCTTTATTCTTTTTGAGTTCAGAGGAGGGGTATCTAACCCTGCATATTTCTGCTCCTCTGGGTGACTTTTGAGAATTGATCATTTAATAAGTTAATTAAACCCTTGATGGCTAAATTATTAGCATTAAAAATAATAGAAAACTGCCCCGGCTGGTGTGGCTCAATTGGTTGGGCATCATACCACGCACTGAAGGGTTGCTGGTTCAATTCCCGGTTGGGACACATGCCCAGGCTGCAGGCTCGATCCCTCTCCCTTCCTTTATCTCTAAAAATCAATTTAAAAAATATTTTTTAAAAAATGAAAATAATAGAAAACTAAGAATTTTTCTTACAGTTGCCTCGCTCAGATAATTTTATATAGCACATTTAAACACTTTTATAATAAGGTTTATGTAAAAGACAGGAGTGAGTTATAGTAAAAGTTGATAGAATGCAGAAATAGCTCCATTCCTTCACCTGTATTGCCATAATTTCTGCCTAGCTTTGAAAGAGGATTTGGCTTCTGCACAATTTGATTACCAAAGCACACCCAATACTGTACCTCCATGTAAAACACACACGTAGTGACTGCAGGCAGGAGCAAACTTTGCTATCAAAACATATGATTGTGAAGAATTAGGGTTGATATTTTACCTAAATAAACATTCCAGAGGATATATGTCCAGGTAAGTATTAATCTATTCCAAGCAGTCATGGTGCCACTAGGGTTCAACATGTGTTTGTGTCTCCTCTTTCAAGACAGATGACCAACCTATTGCATAGTCTTAATTTATAGTCCTAACTCTGCAATTTGAGAGATTTTGATTTAGGAAATTGCCCAAACTCATTGAAGCCAACATTGATGATTTATACAGAATAGGACTGTTTCAGGTTCAAGAAAAAGCAAAACCTGTGTTTCTTCTATGTCAAATCAGATGGCTTTTCAGGCACTTAAAGAGGGGTCCCCAAAGGTGTTGAGCAACAGCCACATTGCAGGAAGAAATATTTGGCTTCCTGGGGTAACTATTTTGAAGACAAATACTCATTGGATATATCATTTCTGTCTTGCTGCTAAAAGATGACTCTCACTACTGTAGCATAACAGAGTAGGGCAGATGCTAAGGTCAAAGTTCTTGGCTAGATGATCTCCAGAATTCCTCCCACAATTTCAAAACTATGACACCAGCAGGAAAGATAAATAAGTCAAGTTGCCTGACATAGGCTTAGAAGATTTCTCAGAAACGACTGGAGTTGCATGTTAACTGTGTTCCATTTCATTCCATGGCCTCTGTGGGTTTTCTCTGTTGTCCTACCCTGTGTTCCCCGGAAGTCAAAGAACAATGAACTTAACTCTGCCCTCCCATGGTTTTTCTCTGCAGAGGAGCCTACCATGGAAGCAGTCCTCACACACATGACTTGTCAAACGTAGGGCCATTCAAGATGACACTCCCTGGTGGGGTGGGCTGCCAATCAGTGAGTTTTGAGATTTTTTTTGTCTTATTTCTCTAAAGGCTACTGGGTACATGGAACAATTGATCGGATTTTCCAGGTATTTGTCTTAGAAACTAACATAAAACCTATCATTAACCAGGGACTCAATTTGACTTAATTGTATTGAAGACCATTTGGGGGTAATGTTTCTTAGAAAGGCCTTCAGAATCTGAGTAATAATTAATAATAGGGTTGTGTATGTGTGTGTGTGTGTGTTTTTTCATTTGTTTTTCTTTTAAATAATATCAAGTACATTTCAATAAATGTACTGAAATTAGTTCTCAAAGCCTTGAATGCATAAAATGTCAATAGGCTATAAAGTCACCCTTGTCCCCACCGTTTTAGCATCAGATACCTAGTTATTTTTATTCTTTAAGATGCTCTTAACCACCAAACCTTTGAGCAAGCTGTTTCCAGGCTAACTTTGAAATCATTTTTCTTTGTAGAGTGCTCACATAACTATTTCTAAGAAAAAAAAAATTATCTCTTTAAAGCAGAAGATTAGGTTTCCATCCTAAGTGGGAGAAGAATCTCAATATTAAATTAAGGGACCCTCTTTCCTTGATTGGTACCACATGGTTCCCCAAACTGGCTGTCTTCTGTTAATGTTTTACCAAACTTCTTCTTTTGTCGTTGGCAGACAATGTGCCCAGATGTTTTCCGTGGCCCGTGGGGAGGAAGCCACTGCCGAGATTCTCCAGTACAAACAATTAGGAAATGCAGCTGTGCACCAGGTCCCATGGGGTCGGGAGGGGGGTACCTGGTGGAAGGTCAGGAGGGATAAGGAACTTGGAGAAAGGGTGATGCATTTCTGGGGAAAAGTGGGAAAGGAAACAAAACTAGAAAGCAACACCTCGTTGAATCATTTCTCCTGCCTGCTACTACTGTACCACCTGGCTGTTCGGAAGAGCACCTCGTGCTACAGAGCTCAGCTGAACACAGACTATCAGCTGGTAGTTAATTAAAGAGCTCTATTAGTTCTATTAGCAATAGCTCTGCTGTTGATCTCAAAAGAAAAGAAGGTTTCCGATTTCCAGTGGAAACTCCCCTGGGAACTAGAATGCCAGCCAAAATGAGAGCATCTGGCAAAACATAAGGCCATTCCCTGAAGGCTGCTGACATCTCTTGCAAATGTTTTGAAGACATTATCAGAAGGAAAACTTCTGTTTATCAAATGCATTTTTATTTGCATTCTTTATATAAGGGAGGGGAGGCATGGAAATAGTACCTGTTCTTTGCTAATTACCAAGTCCCACCTCTTATTTGTCATGATCATTTATAACATTTTCAATAGCAGCTCCTAAGTAGTGCTGAAGGAAAGAACACATGAGCTTAAATAGAATAGTAAGCGTCACTGGGTTGAGAGAATGAGTGTAAATGAAAGTCTTTAAAGTCAGCTTTGAAAGGAAGAAGATTCACAGCCATCTTAAAATTCAGAGGTGATAAGGCAGATGGAGATAGAAAGATGAAAGAATGAACGTTGGAACAAGATGTCATGGTTGCAGAACTTAAAACCATAAAGAAAATTGCAGCTGTCATTCAACTCTAGAGATGAAGAAACCCAAGTCCACACCTATGAAGCAGAAGAGCTAGGCCTTGGCCCCAAGTCTTCTGACTCCAAAGCCAGTGCTCCCAACCTATGGCCACCCTTGTTCACACTGATGTCTCAGCAGGATGAAACCAGGCTGTACAGTAACTCCTGTTCTGCTGGCCAGGATTGAAGAGACACCTGAAGTCAGGAGACCCGGATCCCACTCTCAGCCCAGCCATGGGTCAACTATGAGAAAAAGCTCCATCTTCTGCTTCAATTTTCTCACTTGTAAGATGGAGATAAGGATACCTGCCTCCCTGACCTTTTATCCTAGGGCTTCGTGAGATCAAGGCAAGAGAGCTTTTTGTAGAGGAAGGCTATGATAGCAATGCCAAGTACAGCCATACCTCTGTCTCTTATCTGTATGGCATCAAGAACCAAGCTCACTTGGGTGCACCTCACAGACCTCAATATGACTGCAAACCCATCAGCACAGAGCCTACTAGGCAGAAGCACACAAGAGACAGCCATTTCCTTCCTTCTCTGCTCTGTATCCCCTCTGCCTCTTCCCTCTTTGAGGTCTTCTCCTCTGCCTTAGGCCAACTGGAAAATACCAGAACCCCACGATCATCTCTCTAGTGACAACTGGAGGCTAAAAGATAGTGACAGATGTTCATTTCTGCTTCTCTAAACAGTTGTCTTTGGCATATCTGAAACCAGCTGTTTTCTTAACTCATATTTTCAAGAGACCAGGCTGACAGCATATCTTAGAACAGAACTGGAATACAAGAAGGGACTCCGACCTCCTCTAGTGCCTTCAGGACCTGCGATGTGTTGGTCTTTGCTGTAAAGGGGTTTGTTACTATGTGTTTACACAAGCATTCCAACATGTAAAGTACAGAAGGTTCCCGGGGTTGGGTTCCTCTTAGGGTTCATTCAGCTGCCAATCTGGGTAGAAGATTCTTTGCCTCAGAATTATGCCGTCACTCCCCACGTGGCATCAGCAGTGGTCCCTTTGGGGAGCCTGATACAGATGGTTATGTGGTAGATTTCATTATCTTCCTTCAGCCCTGCCTCAGGAACTTTTCTTCCCAAGTGTTCATTCCAGGCCCTGAATGTCAGATGCAACCCGTGATGAAATTCGCTTGTCAATACCTATTGCCACCAACCCCCTGCAATGTTCTCAGCCTGGTACTGATCATGTCATTCTTCTTCACCTTTACAAGACAAGTTTTGTTTTCCTTGATTGTTTTTTCCTTTCTTGGCTCTTCACTTTACTTAACTTTTTTCTACACCACTTGCAAAATAAGAACTGTTCCTTCTCCACCCTGTGGCTTGGATGGTATCCAGCGGAGCATCCACTTCCCAGCCCTTGACGTTGTCATGGTGACACCACTGCACGAGTCTCCCTCCAGAGGCAGCCTGACCTGGAGCTGCAGCAATGAGCCAGTGAAATAAATGTGAAATGAAGTAACATGCTGATGACAGTGGATGACCCATCTCATCACAGAACTTGTGGGCAGTGGGGGGAATCATGAAAGGTCTAGCACAGATTCAAGCAAAACCTTCTCTGTGTCTGATTTTGTCCAAATGTAAGCCATTGGGGTTGATTTTACTCTACCCTTTGATTTCTCTAGTTATCCATGGGCTTGCTAAATTATATCTTTTGTACATATGTCATCAATGCTTCAGGGTCATCCTAAACTGTTTTCTCTTTCTTTCTTAAAAATAGGAAATTTCGCCCTGGCCAGTTTGGCTCAGCGGTTAGAGCGTCGGCCTGCGGTCCGGAGAGACCCGGGTTCGGTTCCCGCTAAGGGCACGTACTTCGGTTGCAGTTTGTCCCCGGCCCTGGTTGGTCGTGCGGGTGGCAGCCACTCGATGTGTCCCTTCACGTCGATGTTTCTGTCTCTCTCTCCCTTCCTCTCTCTCCCTCCCACTCTATCTGTACAAAAAATGGAAAAATATCTCTCGGGTGAGGATAAAAAAAAAAGGAAATTTCAATCCCTAGAGGCACAGATTTATTTGTCTACTGTATCCTGCCCATGCAATAATGTAACTGATGCTAAACATGTGCTTTCTGGGTTGAATATCCTTTTTATTACCTCCTTCTTCACATCCCAACCCCCAACTCTAACTAACCAAAGATATCAGGTACCTCTGTCAAGCAAACTTTCCCAAACATCACTTGTAGCCTAAAACATATGTTCGGAGCTGGGTAGTGTTTTTCCCATTTTTTTAATGAAGAGCTGGAGTATAAAGTAGATTTTTGCTTCAGTCTTGAGGGTTATGACTGACGGTTTCCATTCCTCATCTCTGGCCCCCAGGAGACAGGGCTGCAGCCATGCCTCTAGGCAAGTGTTCGGATGGTGGGTGGTGCCCCCTGCAATGTTCTCCACCTGGTGCTGATCATGTCATTCTTCTTCACCTTTACAAGACAAGTTTTGTTTTCCTTAATTGTTTTTTCTTTCTTGGCTGTTTTCATTGTCCTTCCATCACATCCACATCTCCCTTCTGGTCCCTCCTGCTATCCATGGATATGGGTTTAGGTTCAAAGACCCTGCGGTGCTGTCTAGAACCAAATTACGAGTGTGAACTCAGAAGGTTCAGTCACGATGAATGCGTCTGTCTGGACCTTTGGTCTTCCAGAGGGAAGTGTCCTCTCCCTGGCGACAGTGGGTGGCGTTTACCCAGCTCTAGCACATCCTCTCTAACTGAATTGTTATTGTTTTATAAACATATTTATTAACTCTGAAGACTGAGACATTTCGGAGTTTTAAAATTGTACATCAACTTAAGTGTCAATAAAAGATACATAGAGTTATTTTCAGATAGATTAAGCCCACACTCCAATTACATCTGAATTAAATTTGCCCGGTTGAGAGGGTGGGTCTCCTTAGGTGGAACAGCCATCTACGCCAGACTCAATGATCCTTCAGGGCATACTTCCCCAGACAGCAAGGACTGAAGTGGTTTGTTTATGCCTTTGTGCTTAGCTTCGTCTTGCTGCCTGAGTCCAAGTACAAGTCACATGAGAGAATGTTCCCCCTGCAGGAGTCAGCGTCCTCATATCCTGGTTTACTGTATTCCGAGAGACGTAGTCAACCTACTCAGCCTCTCTTCTTTCGCCTCTGTTTCTCCCAGTCTTCTTGATGCCATTTTCACGTGTTTGAATACTGTGGGGCTTTTTGTTTATCTGTTTGTTATTTGCAGACTGCTGCCAAGCTAAAGACCAATACATCGAACAGTTCAAAGATACTCTGAACACTTCTGTGGCCAAATCAATTGCTGGATTTTTTGCAGAACCAATTCAAGTGAGTATATTAACCTGAGACATTTAACTGACCTTTAAGTTACCAGAGTTCTAACTCATACATTCTGGAGAATTTTAAAATGATTTAACTAATGCTGTGTCCCTCTCCAAAATCAATTCATTTTCTTGGTCTCCTTGGGGAAAAAAAGAGAGAGCCCCTGATTTTTTACAGGCTTATAAACATATCATCTTCTGAATTACTGGACTGAATAGAGAGATAAATGAAACTATTAAATTCCTAATATTCTGAAGAAAAGGAAACCCCAGCAATTTTAGTCGCTTGATACCCACACTGTTAGGGTTAGCCTTTCTACCTGGTGGGGCAAAAGTAGGTTTGCAGTTGTTCATATTGGAAATGATACAATAATTAATAAACAATAATACAAGAATAAACTCTGTTTCACATACTCACAACTGTAAACCTACTTTTGGCCACCTGGTATAATCTTATTAAATCCCCTTAATCCATTTTTATTCTCATCTCAAGAAAGCATACATTGACTTCCTTTCCCCAGGGGTATGGCATAAGGATAATGGCCCCTCTTTCACCCATAGTCAAAACAATTCTAGAGACAATTTCAGAATCTGCTGGAATTGCAGTTCCGGTCAAAAAGGCAGAGTAGGTACACACTGTGCCGGCCTCCTCCCACGACCACATCGAAATTATATGTAAGCTATAGAGCAACCAGCCAGGAGAACCATCAGAGGATACCTGAGCTGAGGTGTATAACTAAGGATATAAAGACGAAGCCACGCGGAGACGGAAAAGAAATCTGAGTGTAAAACAATTGCTGGTGTTACCAATGATGATAACCGAGCTTCTTTATTAATACTTTCAAAGGGCTGGGCTGTTGTTACAGGTCTTCTTGGTCTGCTCTCTTGCAGGGGGTGAATGGGGTGGTTCAGTACCCGAAGGGGTTTCTGAAAGAAGCCTTCGAGCTGGTGCGCGAGCGAGGAGGCGTGTGCATTGCGGACGAAGTGAGTCGATCTCATAACCAAGTCTTCACCAAGTAGTTTTTGCCAACATAGTATTAACCAGCCTGGCACATTCGCCTTACCTTAATAGCAAAACCTGTTTGGAAATGATATTTAATGAAGAAAAAAAGTTCAGCCTCTAAGTTAGTACGGATATTCAAAACACAGTCCTCCCGCCCCCGAAAGAATTCTACAATAGCTTGAGTTAGGAAGGCATTGTTAGAATAGCTACCGTCCCCCAAGGGGACAACTTTGAAAGGAATAGAAATTGACGCTGTGAACCCTAGCCTGTGTGTTTTTAAAAACAATCAATTTATTTTTAATCACACTGCATATGAGGGTGTATCAGAAAAGCAGTCTTTTGCCTACTGAGGATAGTAGCCCTCGCTATCACAAGCCGGAGGGTTGCACCCTGCCGGAGAAGGGCTCCTACATCACGACCCTACTAGCCATGGGAGCCCCACCAAGGGCTTGGAGAACTCGTCTGTTTCATGTGGGTTTCAGATCTGCGCCTGTGCCTGAACCATTTTCCTCAATTAAACAACCCACAGCAGATGTTGGGCTCCCCTTCAAAAGATTTTTTCTTTTTTTGCACCTTCTACATGTGCAGCTAGGTCTCTCCAGGGGGGCGGGGTGACGCCCCCGCCCCCAGGGTACTGCACAGTGGAAGGAAGCAAGAGCCAGCCCCTCCTCCCCTACCCTCCTCCCTTCCCCAACCTGCGGGTACAAGTTTAGGGATCGTCAACTAATCAAAGTCCTAGTGAAGAAAGTTCATCTGTGATGGAAAGGAAGGAGAAAAATATGTTCAGCGGGTTTACCATTAGCTCCTCCGCGCAAGAGCAAACTTCCACCTTTGGAATCAGCGCAACTGACGCTGCTAGAGGGAAGGTAGGCAGAAGGCAAAGAAAACGTGGACTCCGGAGTTTTCTAAGCTATTGGTTTTGTCGCTTCCAAGACATAACTGGAAAATGTCTAACACAAGGTGACCTTGAGGACAGTCCTCATAACCAGGAAAGCGCAGCATAGCCGGAACTCTCTGGGCACGTCCTGCATGCCAGGCACTGCTGGTGATGCTTTGCAGTTCTAGAAGGCGCCCCCCACTGTTCCTTAGGTGGTTACATCACCTGTCAAGGTCATGCAGTTCGTAGGGAAGGAGCCAGAAATCAAGCCTGGGCTCCAAGACCACAGCAGCCGCTGGTCCAAGCTGCCTCTCACTGAGAGAACAGCGGTGCCCAAGGCGAAGGATGGCAGAAAAAGAGGGAGCAGGGCATGGAAAGTCTGGGTGCCTGGCCAGTGTTGCTACTGAGTGAGCTTACACAGCTCATCTGAAGTAGCTGGCCTTGGTCTTCTCTTCTTTAAAATGAGGAGTTTGGAACCAAAGGTAGAGAACTGGCCACCCCCTAGGGCCAGCTGGGCAGCCAGTCTGCTGGCCTGGCGTGGACTAAGCTGAGATTTGAAATGGACTGCTTTCGGGCAGGGTGTGCACACAGCCCCTCACATAGGCCCCCCGGCTCACAGACCCAGCCGGCCTCCCGCACTCGTCATGCTCGTCACCCCAAATCACGTGAGTGTGTGAACTTTAGAATGAGTCATCTCCGTCCTACTGAAAGATTCGTGACACTGACACTTCCTAGGTGACTAAGCATGGTTTACTGTCCTACCTAGTGTCATGCATTGTCCAAGCAATCTGATTTTCCACCATTTATTTGTGATGCTTAGATAGATGGAGTGAAAAATGAAGACAGGAAGACAAAATGAATGGATTTTTTACAGGTCTTCCTCCGTAACCCCATTTGGGTAAATACACGAGCTTGCCCAGAGGCCCATAACTAGGAAGTGGGAGACCTCCAGACGTGAGCCCAGGTCTGTCTGACTCCTGCGTCTAAACTCTTCTCCTACGTGTTTGCCACCACGTAATTCTAAGCCCTGCCGCTGCCTTTGCTGCAGCACCCTGGAGAGCGCAGGAGAGCGGATGGCAGCCTGGGAAGGGAGCTCTTTCAAGCGCCGGTCAGACTCAGCAGCCCCACACCCTGGCCTGGCCTGCAATGTGTGTATGTGTATGTAGAGAGACTGAGACAGACAGACAGACAGACAGACCAAGAGACTGAGAGCCAGAAAGAGATCAAGGAAACTTCTGCAGAAAGGCTCTGGCAGAAATTTCACGGCAGTGTTGGTGTGGCTTTATTCAGGTAGGCACCTCTGCCTCTTTGTTCATTGTACAAACACTGTCTGCTTCTGTCAGGCACTCTGCCAGGTGTTCTGATAAAGAGAGAAATGAGGTACAGCCCCTGTCATCAGACTGATACCCTGGTGATGACTGTCAGCTGGGAGGTTCTGATGGCAGCATGCCCCGATGCCTTGATTGGGGGCCCTTCTGGGACTTGGGGAAATCTGCCTAGACCAATCGATGATGATGGAGCTGTGCTTTGAAGGACAGGAGGAATTGGTGAGATGAAGAAGCAGGGAGAGGGTCTTCCAGAAAAAGGGAACACCATGAACAAGACAACTGAGGTCAACTTTCAATTCCGAGTTAAGTGGCTCGGCTGGGTGCTCCTTCTGATGAATTCTCAGGAAGTCAAGGAGATCACAGGGAAAAGGATGACCATCCTATTTGAGCCAGGTGTCAGGTGGCCCAGCCCCCATCCATGTACTGCAGTCCTACCCCAGCCAGCCAGAGGCAGGTGCTGCTCTTCCCCTGCTGCCTTGCACACGGGACCTCATTAGGGATTGCTAGGTCCTGGAGACCCTTTCCCTGAGCCTCATTTGTGTGGCCTCACAGCAGCCCCGTGATGCATTGCTACCCGTGTTTCTACTTAACGGAGTCAACACGGGTACAGAGTGACTTAAGAGACATGTCTGGAATCACACAGAGCTAGTAAATGGCTTTTGGTGACTAAAAGCTCAGTCACAGATTGTTTCGTCAACAGTGATGATGATGACCAGAGTCGGCAATCATGACACTGAGGAGGAGGAGAGCCCAGGAAAGAGAGGGAGAGAGGAAGAAGTAGGGGGAGAGGAGAGGAAGAAGTAGAGGGAGAGGAGAGGAAGAAGTAGGGGGAGAGGAGAGGACGAAGGAGGGGGAGAGGAGAGGACGAAGGAGGGGGAGAGGAGAGGACGAAGGAGGGGGAGAGGAGAGGACGAAGGAGGGGGAGAGAGGAAGAGGAGGAAAGTGAAGAGATCAGAGTCAGAAAAACCAGCATTTCCTTAAGGTTTCCCGTGATTTTGGATTTGCGTCCATCAGGTGCAGACGGGATTCGGAAGGCTGGGCTCTCACTTCTGGGGCTTCGAAACGCACGGCGTCCTGCCAGACATCGTCACCATGGCGAAAGGGATTGGGAATGGCTTTCCCATGGCCGCAGTGGTGACAACGGCAGGTAGGACCTGCGGGCAGTCTGTGGCTGCTGCTGGGCCCCCTGAATCGGCAGTGGTAGAAACCCTCAACATGCACTGGAATGTATACGGGTTGGAGACAGTGATGGGGACTACAGATGCATTTCCCAAGCAAAAAAATAAAATAAAAAGGAGCAGTCTGTCTGCCAGATCACGGACCAGATGAAAGAAACCCAGCCCTTCCTGCTCTGGCAGCAAGGAGGACTAATTCTCCTGCCTCCACAATGAAGTGCAGGGTTCAATGACACTGACAAGGTACAGGAAAGTGTGCCGCACAAACAAGACCAACACGAGATCCTTGTTAACCAACCTGGACTCAACCCTGAAACTTCCAAGGATTGCTATTCTGGAAGGAAACTCTTACTTGGCTCCACCACACCCAGAAGCTGGAGGTTCAAGGTCCAGAGTGACACAGGTGTCTGTTGATGTCTCATCCCACAAAACTGCCAAATACAGGACAGTCTCACTTAGCCAGAACATTAGTATTAACTGAATTCTTCATCTTAGTGAGGTTTTACAGAAAATCATTTTTATGAAATTCCCAAAATTATTTCACTTGTTTTTCCTGCACTTATGAGGCACAGAAGGGTACTTAAGTACTCTGTGATATCTCAGTGATTTATTAAATGACTTAGGTACAAAAAGTATGGATGTAGCCCTGGCCAGTTTGGCTCAGCGGTTAGAGCGTCGGCCTGCGGTCCTGAGAGACCCGGGTTCGGTTCCCGCTAAGGGCATGTACCTCGGTTGCAGTTTGTCCCCGGCCGTGGTCGGTTGTGCGGGTGGCAACCACTCGATGTGTCCCTTCACATCGATGTTTCTCTCTCTCTGTTCCTCTCTCTCCCTCCCACTCTACCTGAACAAAAAATGGAAAAATGTCCTCGGGTGAGGATTAAAAAAAAAAAAAAAAAAAAAAAAGTATGGATGTAGAAGGTCAAGTATAATGAACCGAATATATACTCACCCTGAAACAATCCAAAAATTAGATTACTAAATCTTTGATGTGAGGATTTTTTTCCCTTCTCAGTCCCAAAAGTGAAAGCCAAAAAAAGGTTTTATTAATGAAGGTTCCAGCCCAGCCAGTGTGGCTCAGGTGTTGAGCATCAGCCCAGGCACCAAGAGGTCACCAGTTCGATTCCCGGTCAGGGCACAGGCCCCGGTTGCAGGCTTAATCCCCAGTAGGGGGCGTGCAGGAGGCAGCCAATCAATGTTTCTCTTTCATATCAATGTTTCTAACTCTCTCTCCCCATCCCTAATTCTCTAAAAATTAAAAAGACATTGTTTTTAATGAAGGTTTCAAGTAAATTCGATAAATCAAGTTTTAAGGTACTTTTCAGTTCACATAGCACCCTGAAGACTTTGTCATCCAACTTCTCATTGAGTAAAGAAGCTATCTTTCCTTCTCTGCCCGATTAGTCAGCCAGGGGTACCGTCACAAGGGACATTCGTCTTCTCACGGTTCTAAAGACCAGGAGTCCAAGATCAAGGTCCAGCAGAGTTAGTTGCTGGCAGGTGGCCGCCTTCTTGCTCTGTCCTCATCTGTCCTTTCTGACAGACAGCGAGAGAGCTCTGTTGTCTTCTTCTGAGGACACCAGCCCTGTTGTGTGAGGACCTACTCCTGTAACCTCAGTTAACTTCAGTGATGTCCCTAAAGGCCCTCCCTACAAATGCAGCCACGCTGTGGGTTAGGGCTTCAACTTGTGGATTCAGGTGGTGGGCCACAATTCCACCCGTAACATCTACTATCTGGTGAGTGAAGAATGAATTGGATATGATGTCATTGACGACATGATTCAAATGGTTGTGATGGGAGATCATAGATAGGAATGCATCCCCCTTTACCCACCTTTACTTTCTCCCCCCAGAGATTGCCAAGTCTCTGGCTAAATGCGTGTTGCACTTCAACACCTTCGGAGGGAACCCCATGGCCTGTTCCATTGGCTCAGCCGTGCTTGAGGTACGTTCCAGCAGCCACATGACCATCAATGGTGTCACAACATGACCAGGTCAAAGTCACACACACAAATCCTCCTAACTCTATCACATCACACTGTGAAGAGGAGGGTTCATTATTAGTTTATGAATTAAAGTTTGATTCCCAATTATTATCCTGATACCTGCCCTTTTATTAAACAATCTTGTTTTGGTGCTCAAAGTATTGAATAAGAAATATGTACCATGCATGGGAGATGTAAGCATTTTCCTATCTAGATGGTAGCACTGAAATCTCTTTGTTATTTGAGTGGTATTTTATGAATAGTTACCAACTGCTATCTTCAATTTCAGGCACCGAAGGGTACTTAAGTACCTTGTGATATCTCAGTGTTTTTATTAAGTGACTTAAGGTACAAAAAATATGGATGTAGAAGGTCAAGTATAATGAACTGAATATATACTCACCCTGAAACAATCCAAAAATTGGGTTACTAAATCCTTAATGTGAGGGTTTTTTTCCCTTCTCAGTCCCAAAAGCGAAAGCCAAAAAAACAGGTCTTATTAATGAAGGTTCCAGCCCAGCCAGTGTGGCTCAGGGGTTGAGCGTCAACCCATGCACCAAGAGGTCACCAGTTTGATTCCTGGTCAGGGCACATGCCCAGGTTTTGACTCTTTTTTTAATGTATTTCCTTGCTTTTTTTTCTGTACCGTCCCAAGTGAAAAGGCTACAGAGGAACTGAGTGCTCAGGTAATTCAACGATTTTTAGCCCCACTCCACTGAGTTAGCCCTAGAGTCGCATCTCTAGGAAAAGATTTTTTGTTAATGTCCTTGCTAACATGCATGAGAGCATTCATTTAAATACAATAAATATTTCTGAAAGAATGTTCGAGAAAGTAATAACAGATGTTTGTGGGAGGGGAGACTTGATGGCTAGGGGACAGGTCAGCAAAAAGTTTTCTATTATATACACTTTTATATTTTTTGATTTTTGAATGAGACACATTGTTCTCCTATTCAGAAACTTAAAAGTATTTTTCAATTAAAAAAAAAAAAGTAAGGAAGAGCTGCCCTTGCTAATTAAAAAGTACCTTCAAATATGATTAAATTGAAATGAGCAAGTACGAGTCAGGTGTGTTATTTGTTCCATTTTGTAGACATTGCCAACTTTTCCTTACAGTGCCATGTCATGTCCACCGATTTAGAAAGTAGAGAGGACTCAGGTGAACAGATGGGTCCTAAAAACAGGTATGCCTGGAGTCACGCAGTTGTCACCAGTGAAATGCCAACGCCGGATATTGCATGTATCTAGTCAAGAATCTGGCCCTGGCTGGTTTGGCTCAGCGGTTAGAGCCTCGGCCCACAAACCAAAGGGTCCCAGGTTTTATTCTTGGTCAAGACCACAGACCTGGGTTGCAGGTTCAATCCCAGCCCCAGTCAGGGTCATGCAGGAGGCAACCAATCGATGTGTCTCTCACATCGATGTTTCTCTCTCTCTCCCTCCCTTCCATTCTATGTAAAAATCAATGGGAAAATATCCTTGGGAGAAGATTAACAACAATAAAAGAATCAGGAGGTGAAAGTGCTTTTGTATTTCAGACCCGGACTCTGGCCACCCAGGGCCCTGCTTGGCTCCGCCCCCGGGGCCAGGGCCCTGCAGTGATGCCCCTGGCATGACAACTTACCTGGCTGAAGGCAGCCAGACAAAGGCCAACAAGCTCCCGGAGGGTGGGTATCCGTGACCCTTCTTTCCTCAGCATCCTTGTCTTTTTCCCATGGATCCCAGTTTTCAGCAAAGCCGGGCAATACTGAACCTCAGGATTACGGGATCTGGGTCTTGAAGATGAGGAAGGGTGGGAAAACTAACCCCTCTACCAAAGCATTTTTCTCCTTACAGAAATCTTTCTGTAGTGCATGGCATGGCCATGGCCACACTAGACTTTGGTTCCTTTTGGTCAACTTTCTGTAAAGAGGGTCGTATACATTGACCTCTCCATGTTTCTCAGTCAATTTTAGAACTGTTTCTTTTTTTTTTTTTTTTTTCCTTTATTGATGTTAGCAAGAGAGGAAGTGAGAGGGAAGGAGAGATAGAAACATTGATGAGAGAGAACATCAAATGGCCGCCTCTTGCATGTCCCCATTGGGGATCGGGCCCACAACCTGGGCATGTGTCCTGACCAGGAATCGAACCAGCGACCTCTTGGTGCATGGGTCCGCACTCAACCACTGAGCCACACCGGCTGGACAATTTTAGAACTGTTTTAATACAAGAGCATTTGGGGCTTTCTCTCAACAGGTGATTAAAGAAGAAAATCTGCAGGAAAACAGTCGAGAAGTTGGCACGTACATGCTACTGAAGTTTGCCAAGCTGCGGGACGAATTTGAAATTATCGGAGACGTCCGAGGCAAAGGCCTCATGATAGGAATAGAAATGGTGAAGGATAAGGTAGGTTCTGATCTGCCACTCTCTGCGCTTTTTGGAGCAGCAAGAGTCAGAGTAGTGAGCATCGGCCGAAGCTGACTTCGGTCACTCTCGGGGAGGGGACCCACAAGGATGGCATTGAGTATGAACAGAATGCCAGCCAGCCCTCAGGAGTCCTAGAGGGGTGAAGGTTGGTTTTGGAAAAGGAACTGGTATTATTCTTGCCAGACAAGGAAAAGAGCATCGGTGATAAGTGAGTATTTATCATTACAAATATGGGAAGAGTGGAAATTATTTGGGGAGGGACAGGTGGCCCAGAGAGCTAGCGGAATTAAGGGAGAAGGGCTGGGAGAAGGTTGTGGTGATGGTTTGGGGTAAGGATGGTACAGGGTGTGTGTGCGTGTGTGTGTGTGTGTGTGTGTGTGTGTGTGTGTGTGTATTTCAATCTCCAAAGTGACTTTCTGGCGATGTTCCCCACGGTCACAAACTCAACATGACAATAACTGAACTTAGCATTGTCCCCAAAGCAGTTATTCCTCCCAAGTTCACTGCTTCTGTTTCCCACCCTCCACTCTTCTCCCAGTTGCGGAGCCTCAATACCACCAAATAACCTGAGATTCCTTCTCTCCCCATATGTCTAATGTCAAGTCCTGTTGACTGTTGCCCTGTCTCTCAAAGCCTTCCCTGCATTTCTGCTGCAGTCTCTACAGTCCATGTGAGCAGGAAGCTGCCCCACCATGAGGGCAAAGCTGAGATCCTCCAAGGGGAGCAAGAGCAGGAGCATCTTGGCCCAGGGAGGAATATTCAGACTGACCCCTTTAACCTAATTCTTGTCCACGGGCATTCAGTTTTCCCCTACGCGACTTCTTGCTATTTGATCTAGTTCAGGAGAGTTGATGCTCAATTCTTTGCATCTTTAGACCAGACCGTGGATATAAGACTCTTCCATTAAAACCACACAGCACAGCCAGTAAAAAGCAGGAATGTTTAGGCAATATTTAAAAGCCAAGGGAAGAACTTCTGGTCAGGATGACGGGTAGGTAAACGTGGTATCACCTCCTCCCACAACCACATCAAAATTACAACTAAACTACAGCACAACCATCCTTCAGAGCCACCTGACATCGAGCTGAATGGAAGTCCTACAACTACGGAATTAAAGTAGCCACGTGGAGACTGGTAGGAGGGTGGAGGCGGATGGGCTGGTCCCACACCCACGTGTGGCAGGTAAAAATCAGGGGACACCTCGGCTGGGAACTCCCTGAGGAGTGAGGGGTCCCCGTCCCACACCAGGCGCCCCGCACAGGGTTCCAGTGCCAGGAAGAGAATCCCCATCACGTCTGGGTGTAAAACCAGCGGGAACTGAGGCTGAGAGGCTGAGGCTGTGGGAACCCCAGGCAGCTCCTCTTAAAGAGCCCGCACACGGACTTACTCGGACTCGCTCCTTCTGGGCTCCAGCGTGGAGGAGGCAGCTTGAAAAGCACCAGAGACGTACAGGGAAGAACTGAGCTGTTTGGCTTCAGGATGAGCTTTCTCTCAAACAGATGTGCTGGTGGAGGCCTTTGTTCCTTTGGTGAGCCCTTCCCCAGGGCAGCAGGCGGCAACCATATCTGTGACTCCTGTACCTGGCTCACAACATTTGCCTCAGCCTGGTGATTCCCTGAGGCCCTGCCCCAAGCTGTTGCCAGCGGCTTTACCATAGGATTAGCCTGTCTTGGATCCTGCTTCAGAGTTTCCGAAAATCTCTCAAACAGGCAGCATCTGGTCTCAGCGAGCCCCATAACTCTTGTTAAGTGGCCCCAGGCCTGGCACTAGAAGCAGCCAGCCTTGGTTCACAGCTTGACTTTGCCTGGGCACCTCCAAGCCCAGCACAAGAAGCAGCCATCTGCAGATCACTTTGTATCTTATGCCTGGTGGCCCTGGGTAGAACACAGGCAGAGGTTGACCTTGCCCCAGAGCCAGCACACCCAGTGGACAGTTTCAGACTCCACAGAAACACCACCAATCAACCACTTCCACAAGTGACACACTCAGTGAGCGGATGCAGAGGGTACCAGAGCCCTGATGAAGTAAGTCTTGCTCTGTGTGTTGGGCCCCTACACAGCTCATCCTCCAAGGGAGTCAGAGGCCAGTGGTCAGTGGGCACAGCCAGTCCTTGCAGCTGATCAGCTGAGTAAATCCCTCCCATTGTCATGCCAACAGCCATCAAGACTCAATTATAACAGAAGAGTGTACAGTCCACACTAGGGGTGCACCTCGAGGGCCCAGCTAGGGTGATCAGGGAGGCTGTGCCACTGTATCCTACAGACACCTACAACAATAGGCCACCCTACAAAGCCTAGGAGACATAGCAACTCTACCTAATACATAGAAACAATCACAAGGAGGCAACCAAAATGAGGAGACAAAGAAACATGTCCCAAATAAAAGAAAAGAACAAAACTCCAGGAAAAGAACTAAACAAAATGGAGATAAGTAATCAATCAGATGCAGAGTTCAAAACACAGGTCATAAGGTTGCTCAAGGAATTTGGTGCGACATTCAAGGGACTTAGTGAGACCTTCAAGGAACTTAGTGAGAACATCAACAACATAAAAAAGGACCAGTCAGAAATGAAGCATACACTAACTGAAATTAAGAATAATTTACAGGGAATCAATAGTAGAGTAGGTAAAACCAAGAAGCAAACCATCGATTTGGAATATAACAAAGCAAAAAACACCCAATCAGAACAGCAAAAAGAAAAAAGAATCCAAAAACTGAGGATAGTGTAAGAAGCCTCTGGGACAACTTCAAGCGTGCCAACATTCGCATTATAGGGGTGCCAAAAGGAGAAGCAAGAGAGCAAGAAATTGAAAACCTATTTGAAATAATAATGACAGAAAACTTTCCTAACTTGGTGAAGGAAACAGATATACAAGTCCAGGAAGCACAGAGAGTCTCAAACAAGATGAATCTAAAGAGGTCCACACCAAGACACATCATCATCAAAATGCCAAAGTTTAAAGACAAAGAGAGAATCTTAAAAGCAGCAAGAGAAAAGGAGTCCATTACCTGCAAAGGAGCTCCCATAAGACTGTCAGCTGATTTCTCAAAAGAAACTTTGCAGGCCAGAAGGGAATGGCAAGAGATATTCAAGGTGATGAAAAGCAAGAATCTATAACCAAGATTACTCTATCCTGCAAAGCTATCATTTAGAATCAATGGACATATCAAGAGTTTCCCAGACAAGAAAAAGCTAAAGGAGTTCATCACCACCAAACCAGTATTATTTGAAATGTTGAAGGGTCTTCTTGAAGACGAAGAACAAAAATATGAACAATAAAATGGCAATTAATACATATCAATCAGCAATTGAATCTACAAACAAAATGAGCAAGCAGAACAGAAACAGACTCATAGATACAGAGAACTTTTTGTTGCTTGCCAGATGGATGGGGGCTGGAGAGAGGGGTGAAAAAGATGAAGAAATTAAGAAGCACAAACTGGTTGTTAGACTGATGAACCTCAAAGGGAAAAGGGGAGGGAGGGCAGGATGAGATAAACCAAAGAACTTCTATACATATATGCAAAACCAATGGACACCAACAATAGTGTAGGGAAGGGAGCAGGGGGTGGGATTGGGGAAGGGGGTCAACGGGGAAAGAAAAAGGGGTACATCTGTAATACATTCAACAATAAAGATGAGTTTAAAAAGTAATAAAGCTAAGGGAAGACTACAGGAAAATAAGAGGAATATGAGAAACTAGGCCACAAGCCGTACATACTTACTTTCCGCGTGGGGTCCAGTCAAGGGCTGCTTTAAGGCTCAGAAGGATCCATCCAAGTCCCCAACTCAGAAGCTCCCTCCAAGACTGCAGACTCCTCAAAGTCCAGACTCCAAAGAGGAAAACCCAGCAAGCAAGGAGGGTTTCCTTCCCTTCCTACTGGTCCAAACCCAACTTGGCATGCTCAAGGACAGGGGATAAAGACGCTCCTTCGAACTTGACTGGTCCTGGTAAAACAGCAGAATCCTCCCAAAAGGTGCAAGATGACATCGTAGGATCGGTGAGGAAATCCTCGTCTTTTCCCCCATCCCAGGTCCTCCATTATCTAGTAGAACATTTGAAAAAATCCTTTTCCTTATCTTAAAGCTTTAAGACAGGCAAATAGCTCCGGGAGGCCTTATTCCTCACCAGGAATGGAAGGCTGGGGAACCAGTTGGATCAGGAGTTGAAGGAGGGGGATGGGTACTAAAGCCTAGAGGGAGGGTGGACAGGAAGCCCGGAGAAGAATGGGGCTGGGAGCTCTGGGGGGAGCCCTCCTCTCTCTCGAGGATGGAAGGGGCTGGCCCGCAGGATCGCATCTTGGGCATCAGAGTCAGACCCGATGCTGACGCCCCTGTGGCTGCCCTACAAGGGAGGCCACAGCACTCACGCTCAGGACAGGAGGGTCACCGGGCACTTACACTCACAGACTCAGGAGACAGGAGACACACAGAAAGGGGACAAGACCCCACCACAGTGCACCACAGGGGTGCTGGCCTGTCTGGACCCACAGGGAGGGACCAACGTCAGATGCCCAGTGCCCTGAAACGGCCTCCTGGCTCCCATGGTGCTTACCTTTCCTACCCCTGGAGGATCCAGTCTTGATGGGAAAAGAGCAAATTTCCCCTCAAAGAAGATGAGGACAAATGGGTCCACCCAGCTACCCAGGCCATGTTGCGGCCCAGGGAGAGCTTGGTTGTTCATGTACTTTTGCAAATTCTGAGCCATTTCCTGGACTTTGAAATGAGCTCTGTACACGGGAAGAGCAGAGTGAAGGGTCAGGGAGCATTTCCACATGAATAAAGCCGACTCCAACTTCAGTTGGTGAAGAACGAAGCTCAGGAGGAACTGTAGCAAAGCCAAGCTCTGCACCCAACTGTGTTGGTCTTTGGGAATTTGGAAATAAATTGGGATTAAAAACAAATATTGAATTTTATTAATATTTAATAACACCCCAAAAATTCACTCCAGCAATGAACAGCTTTATTTAGTTACAGGGGGAGACAGAGATTAAGAGGGAGCAAAGAAAACTGGTTGCTTGAGTTGTTTTTTTTATCCTCCTGGAAATAATGTCTGCAACCATTCAAACACCAAATAGAAAAAAAAAATTTTAATGTGTTTACAGACGAGCCGCCAGCCTCTTCCTCGTGAAGAAGTAAATCAGATCCACGAGGATTGCAGACACATGGGACTTCTGGTTGGCAGAGGTGGCGTTTTTTCTCAGGTAAGAGAAAGGCTTGTGTTTACCTGTCACTTAGGTAGGCATTTCCCTGATGTCCCGATGCTGGTCACCTTTTTAAAGGAGTGTGCTAGGGGACCCTGCCCCACTTCTAGGTATAGTGCTCAGGTATTTTCAAAAGAAAGTGGCAGTGAAGCCTTGGGGCCACTAGGGGGCGCTGTGTTCAAATGGTTTGGTTCTGGGAGGAATAGATACAGAGGACAGCCTAACAGGCATGCACGACATGTCCGTACAAACCAAAGGATTTACAGCATAGGTCATAGTAAAGTCATAACAGTCATGCAATAAACATTTTGTCTCATACATGAGTTCAATGTAACCTGTAAAAGCGATCCTGATTGCTCTTAACTGAGCCCTGGGCTCTGACTTTTCGAACCCTAAAGCTGCTAAGACTTAGTGGCCCCTGTGGCCAGGAGCAACCTAACAGCACTGGCAGGCCCGGGTGACCCTGCAGGAGGGGATGGGGACTACCCAGGCCGGGTCCCTAAGGCAGAACTCAAAATCCCACTCCCACGCCCTTCGCCCTCAGGCTGGGAGACGCAGACACCCACCGAGCTCCGGGCTCCCTGGCTGGGAAAGCGGGGTGCAGCCCCACAGTCAGCACCGGTGTGGCCCTGCCAGGGGGCCTGGGCTGCTGGGGCAAAGCAGTTTGCCCCAGATCCCGGCGCAGCAGGGCCCTCACCAGGGACGGCTCTGGGGCGGATCTAAGATCTAGCGTAACTTGTGCCCCTCCCCTAGTTTGTTCTTGCCCTTGACCGTCTTTCTTTCCCATTTGAGACGTCAGCCATTCTTCCCAGCTTCCCAGCTCCATTCCTGCCCCTCACTCTGTCGGTGAGCTCTTGCCTCCTACCTCTCAGAGGACATGGAAGCTGCTAGGCAACATCCCGTCTGTCCCCACATCCATTTCTTACCGCCTGTCCTAAAGGTTCAGAGGAGGTGTCACTCCTGCTCAGACCTGGGTCCCCACCCAGGCTCTTGTCCCTCCGCACCTTGTATCTGCACCTTCTCCTCTTCCTCGGCTTCTCCTCAGCCCACAAACAACGGCTTCGATTCTCCCAGCCCGGGGCTGAAGCTGCACACCCCACCCGCACTTGTGCTGGGACGGGCTTGGCGAATTTTTCCTAGTCCTGGTCACAAATATTTTTCTGCACAAATCAAACAGAGTCACAACTTAAAATTCTAAGATGTGCAACTTATAAAGACATAAAGCAATGAGTTGCGTACTTGCTTAGTGATTCCTTGGCTCTCTGGCAAACACTTGCAGAGCGGTGGTCGCTGTGCCCCTACTGAGGCTGAAAGAATAAATAAGGTGTGGCCCCTCCCTGCGTGGGGCTGGTGGAAAAGCCAGAGTGACAGAAAATTACAACACAATGTAGTACACTCATCCGTAGCTATAGAAAGCAGGGCTACAGGAGGGAAGGGAAGGGGCTCCCAGGCCACCTTCTGGCCAGGTTGGGCCTTCAACGGCGGGACAAACACGCGAAGCACACGTGGAGCCAGGCAGCGCGCAGAGCGACATGCTGAGAATGGGAAGAAGCCTGTTTGTCAGGTTCTGTTCTAAACGCTGTGCATGTCTCGACTCATTTAATGCTCTCAAAGAGCCCGTGGAACAAGTACTATTATCATCCATATTCTACAGAGAGGTTAAGTAAACAGCCCAAGTCGCACAGCTAGTCAGTGGCAGAACCAGGATCTAAACGCAGGCGGGCTGGTTTCTGAATCTGTCCTCTGAGGGGGTGGAGGCTGAGGGGACAAGACTGGGGGCGGGGAGCCCCGGGAGGGCTGACGGTGCTGCTTGAACGGGAGCCGTAGTAACGGTGACAGCGGAGACACTCGGGACAAGTCTGCATGTGGAGAATGAGAGTCAAGGACGAATCCCTCCCGTCTAACTCGTCTTGGGGAGGATAAGGGTGAGTTCAGCATTGAACACGTCCACCCGAGGGGCACATGGACATCCGTTTCCACAGACAAGTCTGGGGCTCAGAGGAAAGGATGAAAGTAAATGTCACGATTTGGGAGTCGTCAGCATGGCAGTGGCGACATGAGGACATTTCCTGGGAAGTCGTCCAGATGGAAAGGACAATGAGACCAGCAGGAACCTGCACACCGACATTTAAAGGGCGGCTGGGGGACAGGGTGCCCCAGTGGCCACGACACAAAGGGCGGAGGCGGGTGAGAGACGCTAGGAGAGTGTGGAGTCATGGAAGTGAGAGAACGGACAGGTTCGGGAAGGAGGAGGGACCAGAGTGCCAAGCGCAGCAGGAAAGGCCAGGAAGGCCCAGGGCAGAGACCCACCATGGCAGGTCACAGGTAACGTCAGCCAAGGTGGTGTTAAAAGGTTGGCAGGGCAGCGACCAGACCGCAGTGGGCTGAGATGAGAACGGAGGGCAGGCAGAGTGGGAAATAATGGCCAATGTGCATCAGTCCGTTTTTTTAGTAAGTTTGCATGAAAGGAGAGGGTAGCATTTGTATGGTTACTAGACGGGGCCAGGGGAACAACAGACTTTCACTTGGTGTGGTTTGGATCTGGGTCACAGGAGCCGTAAACCTGCTTGTTTGTAGGCGGAGGGGAAGTTGGAGATGCAAGAGAGCACGGGGCTGCTTCCTGGGGTGACGGTGACGGGAAGCCAAAAGCACAGATGGACAATCTGGAGTTGAGGAGCAAGGGTACCTCATTTTCTGGACCTTCGGGTCAGGCTGAAAGAACGGATGTGGGAGCAAACAAGTTCATAGACAGATCTTGCCTGACAGCTTCTGAGAAGCACGAGGCAGGTCGTCTGTGGCATAGAGCAGGAGGCATAGGAGTTGAGCGAGGAAATGGAGAAGAATGCAAAGGGTTTAGAATGAAAAAGGAAACTGGCAGAGAACAAGAAGAATTTTGGGGACCAGCAGAATTTAGAGACCCTGCCTACCTCGCGGTGTCTGTCTGCCCAGCAGCGTGATGTCCTTTACTGCTGCCACTCCTAGGCTGCCTCTGTGGGTGCGGAGCAGTTCAGTTACAGCTTTGTTCAGGGCTGGGACTTGGCAGCGTGGGTGCCGTGCCGAAGGTGGGAGGAAGTTCAGCACAGTGAGGGGGCATGCAAGAGAGCCTTTCAATCAGCCACATGCTCCCAGCTGGTGGAAAGAACGAGATCTAAGTGGGGTGATGGAGCTCAAGATAGTGGAGGGATGAGGAGATGCTGGAAGGCTTCGTGATAAAGGCAGATGTAATGGGATTCGGAAACCGAATCATGCCTCGAGAAGAGGAGGCTGGTGGACGGGCCGTGGGTGTGAACAGATGCGGAGGAGCAGAGATGAGAGTCTGCGAGTTGTGGTCATCAAGAAACGGAGAAGCTTTACTCTCGGTGATGGCAGGAATGGGGTGCAAATAGGTGCCTAGGATCTCAGCGAAGGAGGTGGGAGGACCAGGAGGTGAGCACAGGACAGAAAGGAAAAGGAGCTCAGCCAGAGGGTACCAGGATTTGTAGGAGACTGGAGGGTGAGTGCCCCGGGAGACCAGTCCATGAGGGAAACGTAGGAAATGCGGTGACAGCAGTTTTCGTCTTCGTTCAGTGCATTTGCTCGGTCACACGTGAGTTTCTGACGACCCGCGGCTCTCCCTGTCTCCTCAGACATTCCGCGTTGTGCCCCCACTATGCGTCACGAAGCCAGAAGTTGACTTTGCAGTGGAAGTTTTTCGGGCTGCGGTGATCCAACACATGGAAAGGAGAGCTAAATAAAAGCTCAGATATAAAACCCACATGCCTCATCCAGCCGGTGCAGCTCAGTGGTTGAGCGTCGACCCTGCACCAAGAGGTCGCCGGTTCAATTCCTGGTCAGGGCACATGCCCAGGTTGTGGGCCTGATCCCCAGTGGGGGGCATGCAGGAGGCAGCCAATCGATGTTCTTTCTCATCGATGTTTCTCTCTCTCTTTCCTTCTCCCTTCCTCTCTCTCTAAAATCAGTAAAGAAAAATAAAATAAAATATTTTTAAAATAAAATAAAATGTGTATCAGACACGCCTCCTTCGTTTCCACTGCCACCATCCCACCCTGGACCCCTCGTCACTTCCATTACGATGGTCTCTAATACAAGAATTGCCCACACTCTAGACATCAGAACGCACATTCGCATGTTTATCCCTTGTGTTTGCCACCTGGCTTAGAATTGACTTCATATTTTTTCACTTAGGTATATTTGAGAGTAACCTTTCTCTAACTATAATAAACGAGTATTCAGGTCTACTCGTCAAAACTGGAGAGGGATCATAAAAGCAGACTTAAGGCCTCACTTCCTCACCTCTGCTCGGGCCCAGCCAGGCGGGTGCACCTTCCTCGGCCTGAGGCTGACTCTCTCTTTGTTCAAAGGGGGATGAGAGACTCTGAGAGGTGTTAAAAGATACCGGCAAAGTGCAATCCTCTCCTTACCACCAAGGAAAGAGGGCCCACACACTGAAAAAGAAAGGCTTTCCCAGCCTGCGGTGAGATGTTTAAGCTCCGCGGGGTTTAGCCCTTGTCCTGATGGTCTCCTCTCGAGGGGTCTGCTCCACCCACCGTCCGACACTCACGGCGCGACTGTCTCTCCAGCATTGACTTCAACACGGTATTCCTTTGCACAGAACCTTCCGGTTGCTCCCCATCGTCCCCTGGATAAGATTAAAACCCCATTAACAAGGAACTCGATGTCCTCCAGCGTCCAATACCCAAATAGAGCGAGCTCGGTGGAAAGATCATTGAATTAACAGCCGAACGACCTGAAATCCAAACTCAGTTCTAGTTATTAACCATAGATGACCTTGGGCCCGCCTTTAACCTTTTACTAACCTCACTTCGTTCCCTGTCACATCAACACTTGTCATTTCTACCTGCTGGGTTGTCTTGGGAATTGACTGAGGTAATGGATGTAAAAGTGCTTTGCAAACTAATTAGCTATGCAAATAGAAATGTCTTCACTTCAACCTACACATCTCTTCTTTCCTTCTCCCAAGAGCAGTTCTGGGGCTTTATTTATACTTACTTGCCTCCCGTCCTTGCTCAACCACTAGGATTTCATTCCTCCACCTCATTCCTTAGAAACTGCCTTCTCAAAAGGCCAGCAGGGGCTCCCTTAAGGCCAAAACTTAGTGTTTCCTGGCAATGTTTTCTCTAGACTTCTGCTCCCTCTTGAACAGGATTTCCTTGGCTTCTGCAGTGTGGTCCCTCTCTCTCAGATGACTCCTTCTGTCTGGGTCCGGGCAGCCCCTCCACTGCAGGGCTCTGTCCAGGGCCTTCCCTTCCTCCTTCCCCCATCCGCTCCCGGTAGGTAGCCTCATGCACTTCGGAGATGTCACTAGCTTGCCTATGCTGACTGCCTTCCAAACATTCATCCTCAGTCTCAACCCTTTTTCTGAGCCAAACCCCCCCAAATCCCTTCTTGATTAATGGCTCCCATTTTGTCTCGGGCTCACACTTTAGGTCATTCTTTTTCTCTAAGTTATCTATTTGCCATTCATATGACCGAGTCTCATGAATACTTTCTACAAAATAGTGTTTCCAATATGGCCCGATTATACAAAAACTGCCTTCATTCGGACCATCGTCGCCTCTCCTGAGCTATTTAAACTGCCTCCTACCCGGTGTGCTGGGCTCCTTCCCAATCATCCTCCACAGGGACACCAAAGTCACTTAATAAAAGAACCTATAAGATCACGTCTCTTGTCTCTTGAAGCCTTTGAGGGCTCCCTATTGTCTAGGGAGCAAAGTCCAAACTGTATCTATTATGGTTTCCAAGAGCCTCCACAACTCGCCCCCAAACCACTCTTTCCAGCTTAACCCCTGCCGCTCTTTCATGTCGCACATGACGGTTCTTTGTTCCCAAAGTTCACTCCACCTGCAACGTTCTCCCCCCTTTCGGGGCAGGGGGGTGAGAACAGCATGTTGAAAGATTTATTTCATAGTTAGTAGACATTTCATTTAGTAATTATAGTAAATACAGTAAAAGCAGTTTGCCAAAATTTCGCTTGGTGTGAATTAAGATTAAGCGTGCTCACACACTTTACTTTCACTACAGGTCTTACACGATGCACAGCTCGTCGAAACACTGCAGCTGCACTGTTCTCGCCAGAGTGGGCTAGTAGCATTTACCAATGCGTGATTCTACGCTACGTCATAGACTAATGCATGTATTGCCTACTGGGAATAATTGTTTTCATTGTTGGCTCTGTTACAGATGTCCTCCATTTCCCCCCTTCACCTCCCTCCACCTTGCCTGACACCCCAAAGCCATCACCACATTATTGTCTGTGTCCATGGCTCATATATATATATATATATATATTTCCCCCCTTTGGTTGATCTCTTCCGTCCTGCCCCGCCCCCCTCTGAGGTCTGTCAGTCTGTTCCATTTATCCATGCCTCTTGTCCTATTTTGTTCGTCAGTTTATTTTGTTCTTTAGATTTTGTTAGTGGAAATTACGGAGGCAGGAAGATTGAACAAGAAAGCCAGCCCTTGCTTCTCAGTTCTTCTCCGTAGCCTTTGCACGTTCAACGTTCCTTTTCTTTTAAGACAACGAAAAGAACGTTAAGAATAAGTTTATGATAACCGTTTAGAATTTAGTAAGATATGAAGAGGAAACACTAAAACACAAACTCAGAACAAAACAAAAACGAAGTAAGTTTCGCAGCGAGGTCAAGGTCTCTGCCTCGGCCTCCCCTGGAGGAAAGGGCTGAAGACTCACTGCTCACACCCGTTCACAGGACACCTTCCTCGTGCCTCCGGGCCCTGCAGGACCCTGTGTACCCCTCACGGCCTTCCTGCTCGTCCTGTCCTGGGGGGGCGTTGGAGGCAAGCTCAGCAGTGGACTCTGAAAGGGAGCCCAGCCCTGGGCCTCCTTCCTCGACCACCAGGCTGCACGGCCTCACCCGAGTGCCTGCGGATCGGGATAGAGCTCCCCTTCCTTGCCCAGCAGCTGGGGATTTAAGGTGCATCTGTCCACCATCAGAGGCGTGGAGTGGGAAGGGCAGAAATGGCGGCCTAGGAGCATGCATTTACTTCCTTCACTGCCCAGTTAGTAAACACAGTGAGTCCCTACTTCCTGCATCTGGGACCAGGCAGGCGTCAGCCCCACCGGCTCTCTCCCTCCCGTGCCCTGCTCCCCACAGGAGGGGCCGGTGCACCAGCTTCCACTCGGCCAGGAGCCTGCGTTCTTGCCAAGCTCCGTTATGCTCTTGCCTGTTAAAACTGTCTAAAGATAACCAGCACTCGGCTCAAGTCAACTTCTTCCACACAGGAACATACTGATAATTAATCATGAGATTAGACTAGAAGACTACAATGTTGGCAACTATTTAAAAATCCTTGAATGTCAATCCACTCAAGAGGGGGTACTTTAAAAAAAAAAAAAATCACATTAAGCTTTGGTTTTACCATTAATAATGATTATTATAAAGAGATGTAAAATAACACTTGTAACTGGCAATACAGTAATAAACTATGCTCTTATTTGTGTTATAAAACTCCATCTTGATAAAAACTACATCAGTGTGGTTTTTAACTCTCCAGATATTCAAGTAAACCTCAAAAAGTATGGGAAGCCCTGGCTGGTTTGGCTCAGCAGGAGGAGTGTCGGTCTGTGGACCAAAGGGTCACAAGTTTGATTCCTAGTAAAGGGCACATGCCTGGTTTGCAGGTTCAATCCCTGGGCCCCATCGGGTCATGCGGAGGCAATCAATCAATGTGAGACAGATATCGATGTTTCTCTCTCTCTCCCTCTCAACCTTCCACTCTATCTAAAAATCAATGAAAAAATATCCTTGGGAGAAGATTAACAAAACAAAAACAAAAAAAAGTATGGGAGGATTTCATTTTTCTTCCACCTTTAAGTCCCACTTAAATCGCACCTTTCCAGCAAAGAAGGATAGAAGACGACTAGAAAACATCGCAGCCTTGGCCACTTCGCCATCACCGCGTCCGGGCCAGGGCATCGCCGGCGTAGCTCAGGGGCAGCTTTGACGGCTGCTGGCCCTGCGTCAGCAGATGGCCCGGGGTCACCAAGGCCGCAGCCTTACTTCCAACTGAGGCACAAACAGTAGGAATGGCGCAGCTTCAATCCATGACAAACAAGAGCGGGAGAATACACCACAGGGCACCTCTCCAAAGACAGAGAGCCCCCCTAACTCAGCAGGAGTGAAGACAGAAACCAAAGCTTAGTTCTACCCATCTGTTCAGGGTTAGTTAAGCTAGAAGTAGGCCAACCTGGGTCTGACTGGTGGCAGATGTCAGGAGCGTCAGGCAGAACAGGAGGTGTCCTGCTGGTCGTCTGTGCTGGAGGACAGCCATGGAGAGAGATGGCAGGAACACGGTGTAACCAGACTGGTTGAAAGGGTCACTGCAGAGAGCAGCTAATGAAGACATGAAGCTGTGATTCAATGGGACAAGCCGGTGGAATGGAGGGAGCCCCACACTCTCTCCAGTTAGTGTGTTTTGGGCAAATTGACCTCTCTGAGCTGAAGCTTCCTGGGGTCCAAAAAGAGAATACCATAGCTCCATGGAACCCTTTGAGGATTTAAATAGGAAAATACGTGGGTAGCCGTTCAATTAATAGGAACCCTTTCCTTTAGACACAGAGTGGCCTTAGGTGGCGCTGGGTGTGCACCATCTTGGGCTATGTGTCCTTGGGTGTACACCTCGTCTCCCTAACCTGACCCTCAGCTGCTGGCAGTGTGATCCTCTCTTCTCCATCCTGTCAGGACAGGGCTCCTCACAAAAAGGTAAAAACTAACTCTTAATGGT